GGCCCTGAGAGAGTGTGTCTCACATCATATACTTTCATTAGCACACTTCATTGTAGTACACTATGTACACTACGTACTTCCTGTGTGGTGCACTAATTACCACCTCTTCTTCTGCTTCGTCTACTTTTTAAACAGCAAATTGCAAACAGATGGTGGAGCATTATCGCCAATATTGGACTGCTATCTCTGCCCACACATAAACCAAACTTTCGCCACAAAGCCAGAGCTGATTAAAATGTGCTGCTATAGCTAGGAGCAAGTTAGCTAGCTAGCTACAATAATGTGAGTGCTAACATTAGCGAGCAAGCTAACGTTAGCACTCCCATTATTGTTCGTTACAGACCCCACAGACATTACTGACTTCTTCTTTTCAACAACAGTTGTTGCAAAAAACATGTATAACTTACATCTGTATAGCGACAGTGTTCACTGTAGCTAGCTCTGGCTATGTCACAAAGATGGCGACTATTAAAGGTCATTAAGTGTCCATCATTCCACACTCAACTTTTAGACCATTTTAAGTGCACCAGTAGTACACTGCATTTTCCTGTAGTATACAGTGTGAACGCACTTAGCACACTAAAAATATTTAGTGTTTAGTACAGATGGCGCCCCATTTTCTTAATGTGATCGAACTTGTTCTCTCTCCTGTGTTTTTGACTTTCATGTGTAAAATCAGGTAAAAAAAAAAAGAAAGAAAGAAAAAGAAAAGGTTTGTCTGTAGAAAAAAAGATTGGTCAGGTTCATTTTGGATCCTGACCAAGTGTGTGTTGTTGTAATACTCATTTTCACCAAAAGAGGCTGACGTGCATCACGACCCATATTCTAAGTATGACTAAAAGGTCTGTAAAGGTACATAATATGTTTTATGTACTAGCAAGTTATGTAAGGTGGAAACATTTCTGTCATGTATTTCTTTTGGCTGGAAATGTATTTTTAATCGGCACTAATATGCTGTTGGTGTTAGAAACTGAAACTCAGCTGGAAGAAAAAAATGAATGAATCTGCCAGAACTTTTTATTCCACCTGTTTTCACAGATGGAAAAAAGGTAAAAAAAAAAAAAGATTCTGGCAAAACTTGTTTTTCACTTGGCAAAACTTTTTTTCCACCTGTTTCACAGATTTAAAAACAAAAGAAGAAACTTGGAGAGTTATCCTAGAGAAGTCTTTTCTTTCACTTGTTCTTAAGTCATAAACACAGGAGAGAAAACAGTTCTGATCAGACTGAGACAATGTACCACCAGATTTAATTCCTCCACTTGCCTCTCAGGGCTTCCGTAGTAATCAAAAGGTTCCCTGTCAGAAACAGAGACAGAGAAAGACAAACAGAAACACTCAGGTGAAGCAGGTGAGATGTTCTGAAGTTTAATCCCAACTGGTTCTCACTGAGCCGAGTCCAGCTGGTCCAAACGCTTTATTCTGTATTGTGTTCACGTGCTGAGGAAATCCAAATCCTTTTTCTATTAGCTGTTAATGACTTGGTGGACATAACTAAATAATAGATACCAGAATCAGCTTTTTAGCAGTGTGTGAATAAATATTATTTTATTTATTTTGCATTGCTCTGTGTATTTAAACTGTAAGAGACATAACTAAGAACAGAGACAAGAAATGTGAACAAATAAAGGTAAAGAATAAACAGGACTATCATCAAAAGTTTAAAAGTTATTTATCATGTGAACAACGATTGCAAAAGCATTAGGTGCCAATAAAAACTTGGGTCACATATTCCTCAAACATTCCAATTTAAATATTTATAAAAATAATAGTAAAATCACATAAATAGAAATACAGAATATAGATATATGGATATAAAGTTAAATTAAAAAAAATATAATGCAAATAAAAAAGTGAATATAATAAGAAATAATAGTAAATAAATGAAGTAAACTAAAAAATAAAATAACATAAATTAAAAATGTAAATTAAATATAA